AATAGGCCTGTGCCCACCTCTTCCTCTCAATAGTTCCGCCATGGTACAAAAGCATATTTTTAGTACCTAGAGAAAATCCATTTAGAATTGTCAAATCCACAAGTTTAAAAAGTTAGATGTCGGCCTTAAAACTTAGAGTACTGGAATCGAGAACTGGACTTTTAACATCTATCCTGCCCTCGCCACATATTACGTTAATTGCCATCACCGACAATATCAAGCATCTTTCCTTCCCCCGTTCGTGGGACATTTGTCCCACATCGGCTGTGTACGAGTGGATAGTGGTATATATGGATTTTATGTAATTTTAATTTTGTTAATTTTAAAATTATGATATATTTTATCTTTGTGTTTTTTATATTATTAAAAAAAAATTGATTTCTTTAAGTGGAGTCCCTCTATCTGGCCGATTGTGGGGGCATTTGTCTCACGTTGATTGCGTGTGTGCGTTATAGCAGCATATATAAAATTTCATGTAATTTTAAATTAATTAATTTTAGAATTATAATGTATATTATCTATATATTTATATATTATTAAAAAAAAAGTATTTTTCCTATACTTCCTTCTCACAAAGGAGTATCTTTCCTATGCTTCTAAAAAGCTTAAATGTTTTAATTTTTAATATTTTATAAATTTCATTCTTTAATTTTTTTGTATCTTTTTCCTTATTTTTGAATAATATGTGGTTTTTATTTTTTATTAGTTAATCCATTAAATCTATTTTAATATATATTTTTAATTTATAAACCTATAATATATATTTTAGTCCCTAAACATATAAATTTAAAAATTAAAAATATGCATATATAGATGAATTTAATGAATTAACTAACAAAATAATTTTAAAAAAATATTTTTCACAATTCTTGAATAAAAGAATGTAAAAAATGATTTAGAAACTAAAAATATTTAAAATTAAAGTTCTAGAACTAAAATTCAAAATAAACCCTTATCAAAAAGGTTTCTACCTATCCATCCAGAAAAGAGAAATATATATAGAGAGATTTCTACCTTAATATAATTTATTTGTTATAAATTTTTTCTAATAGTTTCATTTTTTTTGTTCATTTCGATTTTTAATATAGAATTATAGTCTTTTTAATTTTTCTTATTAATAATTAATTTATTTTTAAAGTGAATACATTCTAATAACTCTCATTAATAAAAATAAATATAAAATTTTAATTATTAATAAAGATAAATATGAAAGTTTAATTATTAATAAGAGCATATCAAATAACAAATATTAGTTATCAAGAACTTACGCAGTTTAATAGCAATCTCTCAATCTTTCCTTCAAGTGGAACAAAAAATCTTTGCTTGGAATCGTAAGAACGTCATAGGGTGAGTAAAGGAGCGTAAAGGTGTTATTTTATATTATACAATCAAATCAAACAATTATTAGTTTTCAACTATATATAAAGATTTACATAAAAGAAAAAAATATATACATAATAACCAAATCAAATGGTGTCTTCTACCTTTTTTTAGTTTTGATTTTTTTTCATTAAGTACAAATTTCAGGAGATATATTTTTCAATAATTAATTGGCTTTATAAATCAGGTGCCCTTTTTTGTTCCAATAAAAACCAAGTCTTTATCTTTTATTTATGAATATATAAGTAAAAATAAATTTAGGTGGTACACAAATTTCACTTCATTAAAAAAGACTATAATTATGATTTAAAATTTGTGTTTAAAATTTGTGTTATAATAATAACAATCTTTTTATATTTAAAAAATATTTTTTATTTTAATTTTATAATTATTTTTTAACTTTAATTATTCATCAAATCATAAAAAAATATTTTTATTTTTATTTTTAAATATTAAAAAATAAAAATAA